GTATTCGTTAGATCCGAGAGATATGGCGATGCAGTCGGAAGTTGACAGAAGATACGTCGTGCTAAGATGTCGCAAAATGTAGGCGATCTTGTGAGGCTTGGTTAAAGTGAACGAGCAATATGCGTTTTCGGATAATACCCCCCGGGTTAATTAGCTGCCTTCATATCGGTGCAGAGCGGCAGGATAGCACGGGATGTATGGTAAACTCTGGAATTCCACTAGTAATCGATCATGAACACTATCAGCTCGCGCAAATAAATCTGGAAACACCACACCACACCACAATCCTAACTTAGACTTGTCTGCGCGCAATTTCCATCTGACCAGCGCAATTGAAGAGACCATCAATATGCTATGGTAATGACAAACACGACGGGACTGTATACCATCAAATAGGTGGTCATTAGACAGCAGTGCTGCGTTGCACACCGTAGGCTCGTGTCGGTGGATGAGCTGAACCAGCACGGGACTTGATCGGAGTCCGGCAGGTGTTATCGAGGATTCGTGCCCGTAACAAACTCCAGCACTGAGGAGTTTGGTGGCATACCCATGTGCCGGCTCATGCCGCGCTCACTGGCATTCGTGTCACCTTCCTATTTTAGTGCTGTGGTACGAAACCCCGGTCAGTGTCTGTTGTGAGCCTCCTGTGCATGCGAGCTCTCGAGTGGACATCATCAGCCACTGTCCACGATGGCCGCGCAATCATCACGCCAGCATCCAACAGGGGTGATGAGATTTCAGCACTTAAGATCTGTCATGCCGACAATGAAGCAAGTAGCGCATCAACGGCCACAATTCTTGATGAGAGGGCGGACAGTTAATTACTACAGGTATGCGGTAGCATTGCGACTGCATCCTGAAAATACTGCAACCTCCTGTGCACGAATCATCCGTTTCTGCCACTGTCTCTGATGATGGATTCAAGTGAGAATCCGAAACTTCGGGCGAAAAGAGCCCTTGTTGCAGAAATCGCTTATCTTATTATTAGCCAGTGACTAGAAACCACACGTTTACCCGCCACACCCCACCACCACCCAACTGCCCGCACTACCCACGCACATTCGGCCATTGCATGGGCCTCCATGATGACACGCCCTTAGACACCTCAGTCCATACATCACACACACTCACACACACAAACCCCTCCTACATCGCTCACCAGAGGCACAGGACAGGCACCTTTCACTTATGTTGGCAGCGACTGCTGTTTTTGCCCAACCGGTCAGGATGGGCATCGTTCTTCTCAGCTGATGGTAATCGAAATCGGTATGTATAGTGATGCACGTCTCGTGTGACTGCATAGATTCTAGGAGCGCGCAGCCATTCCTCCCTGAGTAGATGTCTACGATATGAACGTCCTCCACGATGAAATAAATGGCATTGTCTCATCACCGTTGGCGCGTGATCATGTACACGGTTGATAGTAAACCTCCCGATTTAGCTACAGCAGACTGTAATCACGGCTCTAGTGATAGATTCGAGTGTGAACCCGAAGGATAACGTGAGTGAACCTGTGGTTTCAGCGGATACGTCTGCTTTTCACACAATCAAACCCGTCCGTAATGTATACTAGCTGGGCACGCAAAGTTGATGAAAGTCTCTACACTGTCTGCACGTGATGCATCCTTGACTACCTTGAGACGAGCTTGTATGCATTTTCTGCATAATGGCACACTTGCCAGTCCGTTGGGTTCAGCTGTGTTGTTGGAGATTACTTTTTCCTTTAACTGTTTTCTACGAATGTATCAATGCGCAAGGATAAAAAAGATCTATATTCAAAATATAATAAGCTAAATCAGAGAATCAGATACCTATTCCCGTGTCCTAGTCTCAAGCATAATAGTAACTTTATCAAATGCCTTACACTTAACCCTAAAATTATTACTAACTATAATTATGTACTTTATCCTAGCCTCAATCTTCCTGGGATTTAACCCAAAGCCACCGTATTACTTGAGGGGGTGCTCATACCCTTGTCCAACCAAGAATTCTAAAGGGAAATTTATCATATTTCGATAAATGCATTCATCCAGGCAGTGGAGGTCGGTACGCTGCCTGTACGTGATGCATCGTTGACTACCTTGTGACGAGTTTGGATGAATTTTCTGCACAATGGAACACTCGCCGGTCCATTGAGTTTGGCCATGTCGATGGAGATAAATTTTTAGTTCGGCTGTTCTCTACGGAGATATCAGTGCACAAGATTAAAGAACATCCCTAGTCAGAAAAGAATTAAGAAAAACAGGGGAATCGCAGATCCTTTAGCACAGTCTTCCGGGGTTCTTATTCTCTCGTCCAACCAAGAATTTTAAAGGGCAATTTATTATCTTCTGATTAATTTAGTCATCGAAACAATTGAGCTTGGCAAGATTTAGTAAGTTGTGCGTATGAGGGTACTTAATCAGCTAATTCAGGTGATATCGGAATAAATCTTTGCGGTGCACCGAGGTCCTTTCACATACCAGGGCATCCGCGAATAGAAGTTACCCCATAAATCGCCGTTTCGAAAATGAATTACAATCCCGGAAAAATGAAGTTAACAAATGTATCATCTAAGCAGTGCGAAGAGAAATTCGAGTTCAACCTGCGTGAACGCGTAATTTCGAATTCCTGCACTACAGATCCCCTAAACAGACAGATATTAATGAAACCACTGGGGCGCCTCTAATTCCTGACAGCACTGATTGGCGAGCGAATGTTGCAAATGGTCTCTACGCTGTCTGCACGTGAAGCACATTTGACTGCCATGTGACGAGAGTGGATGCATTTTTCGCAAAAGGGGGCATTCTCTAGCCCGTTGGGCTTGACCGTGTCGTTGAAAATATCTTTTCAGTTAAACTATTTTACTACTAACGTATCAGTGCACAACGTTAGAGAACATCCATATTCAACGGGGTGACGGGATGGATGGCGCATTTCGAAAGGCGTGAATTGGCGACGTGTCGGAGGGCGGGAAACAGGCAACCCAAGGCTACAGATTAAGGAAGTCCTGATCGAGTAAGGCTGTATGCGGCATACAAACTTAATCCGATGGAACGAGCCATCCCATGTTACTTAAATTCACATTCCATTCTTCCCTAATTTACTTCATCCGTGGCAAATAATTCCGCCATGTAGTGTCGCAACCATAATGCATTGAGGAATTTCATATGGACTTTAAAATCAAACACTCCCACTCTATGCGCCTCATTAGAACTTCTGCCTGCAAAGTCAGCGCTGCCTTCAACAAACAAAACATCATCCGACTCCGCATTCCCAGGCATGCTGCAGTCTGAATGGTGCGCTAAACAGGTTCACGCCCTTACCTCAACACGTGACGAAAGAACGCAGCCCTCCTCAGTGCGGTGCGGTGGCGGCGGCGGCGACGGTGGCGGTTGTGACAACAACAACAATCCCCCTATAAATTGGAATACCTCTGACGAGGAGAGTATCCACCGAAACAGCACCTCTCAGATAAGTCATGTCTGGACGACAGTATGATGATCCTCGTCTCCGTCAGACACCGGGTCTCACCTTCCCCATTCTTAATGGACAGAAATATGTCTGCGATGGGAGCCGCTGCGTACGACTTCCGACAAAATATGAGAGTACGTTTGTGTGTCTACGCCACACTTTGCATACTTTATTCTGTTTTGATATCGTGAGGATTGATAGAAGCAGTGGTAGGGGTGGGTAAATTATCTCCCTGCATGAATGTGCTTGTGTTGACAAAATAAACAACCTGCGCATGTTTACTTTCCTTTTGCAGTGTACGTGGCCAAGGAGAGAGCGGCCTCCAAGTTTGGACGCATCCGACGAACAAATTGGGAGGAGGAAGTGTAACAGATTCTTCGTGCTGAGCTGACTGACAATCACGCCATTTCTGTTTACATTACCATTGTTGGAATAAATATGCATTTTGTGCCAAGATCTGTTTGCTGCTTTTCAAGGAGCACTATTAGTGTGTGTGTCAAATCAGTCGATTGGAGTTTAGGACATGCGGTAAGATAGAACTGTGTGTCCATAAGCACACTTTGAGCTCTGGTTAGTCCTCTGCGTTTGTCGTTATTATTATCGACTGATGAGGAGGATGCAGGCAGCACATTTACAGTT